TTTTTTATATTAATCTTCATTACTTTTTTCGTGGGAAGAATAAAAGTAATATAGATATAAAGTTACAAGAAAGATACATGTGTATGGTGAGGAAAATGACAAATAAAAATTATGACCTATAAAATGTACAGTTTAACTATAATATAGAGATGATAAATTTTGGTTAAAATTATATGGAAATAATTTTTCTACGCTTGGCAGTGGAATAAGGGCGAACAAACCGTACCCTCCCAATTAAGTATTAAATTAAGAAAGTATTGGAATTTTCGCAATTTGACTTATTGCTTCATTTTAATTATAAAAAGCGCACTAACATGCGTCTAATATGTATCGATCGCTGCACATGTTTCCCATTAGAGGACGCTGCTGCACATTCACCAGATGGCGAGTACAACAGTCCAGATCAGCATGTCAGTCGAGGCGACTTCTACAGCACTTTCCATTGACAGTGCCCTCTACTATACCTACTTTACTTAGTGACCATGATAGCCTTAAATATTCGTAGAAGCACGTGCGTCCATCACTGTCAACACCCGACCCTTACTAAAATCAAATCTATACATGTCTAGAAAGGAATCACATTGGGTCAAGCGGGTTAGTGTGCTGACCACACTAAGAACTGCTGCACAATGTTCCTACTTCTGGAATTATCACCGTCATGAGTGTAGCTATAGACGACAATTTAGAGGAGGTACGTTCGTTTTCCACATTTATAAGCTTTACCGAACTAGTATTAAATTTCTTATCTTAATTCCACCATTTATAATATAATTATTATGTGAATTTAATATATGGTGATATTGGCCCACTTTCGGATAAATTTTAGATATGGAAAATGTTTCTGGATGCTGTCATTTAGGAGTCCAAATTGCAATTTTCTGTCGAATTTTTTTACAACGATTTATAAGTCTATGAGAATTGACTGCATTCTTTTATATTTTGTTTCGGCTAGATGTACAAAAATAGTTAATGACTCAATAATCCATTTAATATATATATATTTTTTAAACAGGAAATTTCTCTTTTAAGGAAGTAACATTACGTTAGTAATATTAAGGAGGAATTAATGCGGATTATAGATAATTTTCCTGGGATAATTAACCGAAGATGAGAGTTATACGTACGAAACGATTGGTATGAATTTGGAACGAGGGCGCTTATTTAAAAAGTTATAGAGATTGTAGCAGATTGTCGCATTGCTGTAGCAGACCGGGCAAATAGCCAACAAAATGGCGTACAAGGACAAAGAGAAACTTCAGTCAGAGAGGCGCCTCTAGCATAGTAAGTTAGCGGCCTTTGGGACATTCACTGGCGTCAATACTGCTTCATTGATTAGAGAAACGACAACTCAAAAAAATCTAAGAATTTTCTTCTGTATTTTTTCACTTTAATCGTTTCCACATCACTAAAGAACCATCACTTCGAACCGTTTAATTTTTTCGTTACAAGAAAGAAAGAAAAAAAAAAAAAGAATTTCGGCTATTCAGAAAATTCTCGAGTACAATTGAAAATTCGAATCCTGGATCACGCGTAATCCTAAAATCCTGGTGTCATAAATGCTATCTTTGTGATATATATCTTGGTAATAACTAGAAGGATAAGTCACCGCAGAAAATCCCCAAAAGGAATTATGCGATATTGTTCGACATAACTGGACGATAAAATGATATTTTCTTATCGTTAGAAATAAGCGCAAACCTTATTACCAGTTTTATTATAGATATTAAGATGGAGATGAAAAGATTGGAATTAAAAAAATTTGACATAGTGTGATTGGATGGCGCAAAAAAAAGAGAGAGAATTTGTGATAAAGCAGATTCTGTGCGCGCAGAGGAATAATAAAAATAAACTAGAGAAATAATTTATTAAGAATAATCTTTTGATGCATGTGTCGTATGTTTGTTACTCTTTGCCTTCTAAGGTTAGAGTCTTCTAATGTCCCATTCACTTTCTAGCATTAGCCAAGGGTATATTGATCCATTTCGACGATGGTTTTCCTCAAACGGGCACTTTGTTGTCACACCATAAACTTTGACGTTTCGGAGTTAGTGGTTCGATTGAAGAAATTGTAGATTTAGTTGTATTGGAATTGGAAAAAAGCTGCGTTATTGTGACATGATTTTTTTGAAATTTCAATCTTATCGGGCAAAAATAAGATTGAAATTTTGGTTTTTCTTTTTTAAAATGAATTTCCAGTTTGAAATTGATTCGGTTTGATGCAGACGAAAAGAGAGGAGAGAAATGAAAAGAAAAAAAAAAGAATGTATAAATATATAAAATAAAATACAGCAAGATCAAATATAGGAAAATGTTAAAGGTTATTGGATGCACACCAAAATAAAACTGGTAACTCGAAAATTTAATTCGTAATAAAATTAACGAAATTAATTTATCGAAAAACTTCTAAGAGCAAAAATTATTTGCTACAACTATAATTATACTACGTAATAAATTAGTATTAGAAAATTAGCGCAGAGTAATTTTTTTGAGCAAAGTACACATTATTTCNTTCGTTTTCCACATTTATAAGCTTTACCGAACTAGTATTAAATTTCTTATCTTAATTCCACCATTTATAATATAATTATTATGTGAATTTAATATATGGTGATATTGGCCCACTTTCGGATAAATTTTAGATATGGAAAATGTTTCTGGATGCTGTCATTCGAAGAATTATGCTCGATCTATAGATTTTTATGTCTCTTCGAATGTTCTTTTATCCATTTTAATGTCCAATAAAATTTCCAATGACTAATACAATTCTAAGTGCGGTATATTTCAAATATAAAATATAAGAGAAATAATTTCTTTTATAAAGTTTTATGTTTGCGATAAAATAATATTTTAAAATTATTATTTAATGTCATTTTATGTTGCTAAGTCACTACATTTGTCGTAATTCGGGTGAAAAATTATTCTTATTCCTTCCTACAGATTCTATTCATCTCTCATTTAACCGAGTAAAAAGAGCATTTTAATGTCGATAATTCATATATTTCCGGACATTATTATAAATAAATATATTTAAAGTGATTAAGAAATTAACTTAAACGGCGAAAATTTAAAAAAAAAATGTTATTTTTTAAGCTTTATTTACACGCTTTCAACTAATTAACGACGTATATATACGTCGGTTTCATAACTGGAAACAAAGCATTTAAGTTTCAAACGCATCTATCTATTGACCCGTCAAAATTTGACAATGTCATCAACCATCCGTTCGAACTCATTTAGATGGCCGAACACGCAACATCCATAAAATGATTCTGAATCTCTTCCAATCGACTTCTTAATCCACTTAGCTTCGTCTATACAGAAAACAATCTACGCACTTCATTTCATCAGCACAAACTATACTTTAGCGGTAACGTGACGCATACCTGATCGCGTGAGTGAAAATATTGTCACGAAAATGGTGTAACGTCACGCAAGCCGTAAACCAATTATTGGTTGGGTTATATTCTGCAGACATAAACATCACTATTTTCAACTTTTGCAGATCATTTATTTTTATTTTTCTAACTTAACCCCGAACAGGTTCGAAGCCATAAACGAGTAGATAACAAATGAAGATGCGAGAGATTATTATCGAATATTACCATCTGGAAACAATTTGATCCGGTCATTTTATTCGCATTTTGGAAAATGATACCGAATGCTGCTTCACTGCATAACACAGAGAAATGCGGAGAAACCTGATCTACAGGGAACGAACTGATCTTCTATTGTGTTAAAAGCGTGTCTCATTATTCGATCGGATATTAAATTATCCTTATTGAATAACTTTTTGAATATAATCCTTTAAAAATATTCTTTAAATAAAAAGGGCACAAATTTAATTTCCGTAAAAAAAATTTAATTTTCATATTTTTTAAGCTTTTCTTTTAATTTAATAAAAAAAACAAAGGAGAAATTGAGATTAATTTTTAAATGCTATAAATTACCAAAAATTACCTTCCAGTAAATAATAAATTATATTCTCTTATCTTTTTATTTAAATATTAAGAAGCGGGAGGCGCATCTGTTATCGTAAAAACAAAAAGAAAAAAAAAAAAAAAGTATAATCTAACTCGCATAGTGGATATCGGAATAAAGAGCATATGCATAATTTTACTAAGTAAATTTGGTTAGTATCCTCGAACAGCGATATCTTACATCTCAAATAAACGTAGCCGTGAAACTTCAAATGTAATTTAGTTAACAATTTCGAAGCCGGTGCGCGACATAATGACACCCTAATGACCAAAATTTGTAACAATATTTGATTATTGAGAATTATGAAATTAGGATGCGTAATTTGCTCTTAATACTTTTTCTATTTTTATAATGTTTCTGCGCAAACTATTTTTACAGTTACGAAGGAGAGAAGAAGGAAAAAAAAAATACTTTTTTATTCTGTAACAATAAACAGCAAGGAGATAAATGAGAAGTGATAAAAAATGAATAATTACATTTATCAAAATGTGATCAGAAACGATAGAAAGAATTTATAGAATATTTTAAGATGTGGAGATAAAGCTTAGATTTTTCTTTGTATCTGTCTTTTATCAATTAAGACAAATTCGAAGAAAAAGAAAGGATTACATTGATTGTTACAGTTTTAACTTTAAATTTTTAAACGTGTGATGAAATTTTTAAAAGAAGGAAGTTTCTTACAAAACACAGAATATTTTTCTTCTTTTAAACAAAAGTACAAAACCTGATTAACTAAACTCTACTTTCGCTACTAAAGAATAATTATTTAAATACAAAATATATTCTTTTCGCGACAGAATAAACTATTAATATTCCGGTATAATTATTCTAAATATTTTAAAATAAAGATACGTTAACATTTGTTTAAAATAATTACTAAAATACATTATTTTTCTACCGAATAAATATGAAATTTTTATACTTATTTAAATAAAAAAGTTGAAGGAAAAAATAATGTTTTTTCTTACACAAAAGAATATTTTAAATAAATAAGGGAAATTTCAAATAATTTCTGCGGAAATTTTTGAAACTAAATTTACATTTTAATTCATGATAAGATTGAGAATGAAATTTATATTAATCTTTCCATTTTTTACGGAATTAAATTACTGAAATAATCGAGTCCGGTATATATTTTATCGAGAATTTTCAACTTTCTCGAGTATAATAAGTGGAAAAACAGAGCTTATAATTCAAGAATTAGAAAACTGAATAAGATTGCTTGATGTATTACGCTTGTAAGTGTCGAAGTGAGAAGTAATCAGTTTTCTTATAATAGCAACAATAATTGCATCTGATATTACGAGTCGCTGTTGTTACCATAGAGAGATGAGATATGAACGGAGATCTTGATACTCTTACAAGAGCCCTTCAATCCAACTATCGCATACGACAAATGTATATACAATTATTATTTGGAAAGTTTATCAAAACTTATATAAAACAGAATTAAAATAGCATTCAATAATGATTTTTAAAGTAAAGTTTGATTGAGTTTAAACGTAATTAAAGGTAGAAGTTTTATAATTATTTTAATGCTAACGGTTAAAATCTCGGAAGATGGAGTAAAAGCACGATCACGTTATCTAACAATGGAAAGGAACGTTTGTAATCTCCACCCAAAATAAATCTTTTTTCTTTCGAGAAGCGAAGAATGATAATGGAAATGTCTAAGTTTCTCAGCGAATAATAAAATATATGTAAACAACTTTT